ATTCTCTCCCCCATCCCACTGGGGGCAAAGTAAGCGAGTGGCTGGGTGGTGCTTAGTCGCCGGCTAGGGTTAAACCACGACAGATTTCTAACAAACAAAAATATGCAAAAGTGTATTTTACTACATTTTGCTGCCAGATAGTGATTGCATTGGGAACTATTTTGTCCAGATGTTTTTTAACTTGTATGGATTTGAAGAGAATTTCCTAAAATACATAGTAGGAATGATTGATTATGTGGGACAATATGGTTCTTTTTTACTTGTACCAACGCAAATCAAGAATTCCTTATTTCACAAATACACAAGAGAACAGAGTCAAGGACCTTCTACCCAAAGGAAAAAAAACACAGCATGGTGTAAAGCAATGTGAAACAAAACACATGTGGTAAAACCAGTAGTTTACAAATATATCACTCCATATCCAACATATGTGAGCTACTTACAAAGAGAAACATTCATCTAAGGGCCAAGGGAATGGTTTAGACACTCTTTTTAGAGGGCAATTTTTAACTTGAAAATTGTTGATGATAGTCCCAATAAGTGAAAGCTAAGAAATTATTCATTGATTCTGATGATGCAGTGAATGTGAACAAGGTCAAAGTTTGCTTTCATCCAAAAGAATAGTTTGTATGTTAGATCTGAGATGCAAGACTTTAAACATGTTTAACCTGAGACACTGAATTCATTGGCAGGGTTGGGATGATTCCACCCTGGAAAAAATTTAAAAAAAAAAAAAAAAATTTCTCTGGATATTCTAACTTCTGTCACAAATAAAATTTAAGGGCTACAATAAAAGATTTAACTGAAGCAGATTAGAGGTGGAAAACAAGTGTTGTACGTATTTGTTCAATTTTTTACTGTGCTTGTGAATTGCAAAATGTATTATTTGTTCTGTATAATCAGGCAATTCCCAGCTTTGTGCACGTCTGTCATACATAGAGAGAAGGGAGAATACCACTCTCCTGGAACAGGAAGAAGTGATTTTAAACGACAAAAATCAGTTAACCTTTTAACATGTATTTTCCACTTAATCTTACCTCCAAAAAATGCTCTGCTTGCTGTTCCCGATCCAGTTTTCTTGACGTTGTTGTAATCAGACCTGTGAAAAAAGGATGATATTTGATTGTCAATACCCATTGAAAAGTATATGTCTCTATTGACCAGAAGAAATAAATTCATTTTTCAAACACTAAAAGGGAAAAAAGCTATTTGAAGCTATATCGGACACAGATTTCTTGACATCTGTCAAGCATTTTCTTTCTCAGTGCAGCCATTATGACTTTCTGACTAACAATGAATCTTTAAAGAAAAACGCTGTGAGAAAAGTAACTGAAAAACAGTTAGCTGTGTATCTACAGTTAACATGCTACATTTATTACAGAGAAAAAAAAAACTTACGAAAGAATCACTATTCGTCTTATGATTAAGTGCTTCAATGAATCATTTGCATTTGACTGAAATCCTTCCGTAAAAAACCTCATTAAAGATTTCAGAGTTCTCAAACAATTAATGGGATAGGATGCTGATTACTTCCATGCCAAGAATACTTGACAAAGAAGGTTATTTCTGTAATAACTTCTTGTATACATAATGATTTCCAAATGTAATCATTCTAATGCATTAAAGGTTTTGTACTACAATTTCATCAATTTGTTCCATGCTCAAACTGAGTCTTTAAAATAAAGTATCCTTTTATGTAAGGATGATAAAGTTATCTTTTTTTTTAAAGCAATGTACTTTCAGAAATGATTAACCTCTTGTGAAATTTATACCAAGGAAATAAAACGAAACACTTCCAAAGTTCCCTCAAAAAAAGCGATGCATATCTTCTATGAACATAGCTTAGTTTTTTATTTTGTTCTCACCAGAGATTTAAAGAGCAGATTTGAGTTTTCCCTCATACAAAACATTTCTTTGGATAGGAAAATGCATCATGTGCTTGTTTTGTGATGGATTCTGACGAGCGTAAAGGGACCAACTTTTCCTAGAGATAAAGCTGTTTTTGGAGACAATGCCAGTGGACAAAGTCGTTCTCAGGAATTCCTCATCTCTAAGATTACCAAGGAAGACAAGAAAATAAATACTCCCTGGATTACCTATTATTTGTTTAATCAGACCAGCCAAACATCTAAACACAAATCCATGATGACGATAAATTCTTCAAAAAAAACATCAGCAATATCTTACATTGACATAACACCTCTAGTCCCAGAAGGCTTCTACAGCTACAGCTCCTCATACACTGTCGCCTTCTCCTTGGAGGAATCACTTTGTCTATTTTGGTGAGGAGGGGGGTAATATTACTTGAAGTAATGGGATGAAATGAACAAAGGAAAGTCCATTCTGCTTCCAATATTTCAGACTCATTACAAGATCTATTAGACCACAGAAGCGACACCCAAAGGGAGGTCACAGAAACCAGAGTGGATCATTATAATTACATGGAAGAACCTGGTGCTGGCAAAAGGCTGAAAAACCGAAACAACCGGTATTGCCTGCATCGAGCAATTTTAAGTATTCAAAACAGTTACACCATATGCGAGAAATCTACTTACTGCATGAGTTTGAACAGACATGACAGCACGGATGACAAATTGGTGTCATTCACACAAGATCCCGCCATGTTTAGAGCGAATGCAAAGATGAAGGGAAGAAGTTCCTAATTATGAAAGAAGTTCAGTCCCAATAAATTGATGAAGTAAAAATTTCAAATTTGAAATATCCCTGTCCATCACATGCATGGTCACCTCGGATATTTATCAAGCACAACCTAACCATGGTAAGGAATATGATCATTTTTATATTACCTTCCACTTTCTTCCTTCCTAATGTGCCACTATGAACTCCGCCTACTTTCTTCTTAAACAAGAAATGTCTAGCTGTAAATTATAGAAGGTCTCTGTCCTCATCACCTTCTTCAGACGAATTCACATTCCTTTTGAAGACCGAGAGCTAACATCTGAAACTGAATATTGCTAACTGTCAGAATGAATAGTACTTGCCTTTCATCGGTAAAACTAAACCAACTACTACTACTACTACTGCTCCTCCTCACAAAACTACTGTTACCACTAAAGGGGTTTTTTTGTTTTCCTTTTTTCAATGTAGAGCCTTTTGGACTTCAATAACGGTCAGAATGCCTTCAGACCTGAATTTCCTTCTAAAAGAAGTATGAACATATGACAAGTCTCTACGACAGAACTGCCTATATTTTAAAAGTAGCAGATCTTAACAGATTTAGCACCCAGACTTAACAGCCGGTCCTAAAGGGCAGGTAACAAGACCATCACCATCAGTTCTGCAGACCTGATCCTGAAGTATGGTGCTAGCACGACTAGTTGTTTTTGCTTTAAAGACAGCTCTACATTCAACTGCCAGCCTGGGCAGTTTCATTCGGTTGTCACAATACTCTATAGAGATAAGTGGTCATTTGCGTGTGCGGTCGTGGAGCCTCTAGTTTCCATTCCTCTTCTCTGAGGAACTCTCCCATCTGACACTCATGGTGGCCCCATTGCAGTCTCCTGGCTGCTCCCTTCCACATACATTCCTGAAGTCACAGATAGATCACACTACACAACACTACTGTTTAAAATATGACTATACATAAAATCATATCTCAACTACTTGATGTTAATATTTATTTAATTATGGTCACGTAATAGCATGGGTGTGAATCTGGTCCTTTCAGATTATAAAACTGTATTTCAAGGAATTCTTGAAATAAGAAATAAGACCAATCATCAAAACTGAAAAAAGGAAATATATTTCAGTTATGTCTAAGACTAGGCACAGCTTTACTACTCCAGTATCAAAGAAATTAATTTCATGGGTTTTATGAAAACCTTGCTGTGTCCCTCCCTCCTGTATTCCATACTCCATGCCATAGATACATAATAATAGTAATATTTAGCAGGATGTAGAACTTTATTTTTGAGATACAGGGGCAACTGAGAGAAACTTGGCTTTGCACAAGAGAATATATCCCAGTTTTAGTTTTTCTCTAACTGTATTAAATCGTCACACTCTGTTACGGTCTAAAGGTATTATCTAAAGAACATAACTCACAGAGAAAAATAAACCCAAAGAAATTATGTTAGGCTGCACTGCTGGTTACGATATAATATCACAAGGGGACAATGACAAAAAATGACCCTTTCTTTTTTCCCATCTTCAATATGTGCCGTAGCTCTTCTAGACACAGCCATCTGGACAACTGTCCAAAGCCAGCTGGGAAATATATCAAGCATTTCTCACAAAATAGTCAAAAACACTAACAAGCTTCAAAAGTCGTAGCACACCTCTCAGATGGTTTCTCTCAAATTTCCAGGGAAACATCATGGTCCTCCTAAGGGCAGGAGATATTTATAACTGTGACGATTCTTTAAGAACAGCCATGAAAGTGAAGAGGAAAACTGGATCGGATAGAAAAGTTATTTACAATAAAACCATCAGCTCACAAACAAGGTTATACGATTCTGTTCCCAGCATTTCATACTTTTCTTTGACTTTCTGAGTTAAAACATCTTTGTGCATCCTGGCGCATCTGTTCCTCAGGCCATTTAAATGAACTGTTTTGTGAAACTCCAAAACATTGCTTGGCCTAATATTTCAGCTTGGAGATAACCGTATGTTCTTATATAACTTGCTTTTCTACAATACCTGTTACTTTTGCTATTGGAGTACTTTTCCCACCCTAATAAATGAACAATTACTGCTATCCTCCCGTTACAGAGTTTGGAAATGCTGGAAGGTGAATAAGCTCACCCCGCACAACATGTCCCATTATGCTGCAGGACACAGTGACAAGTCCCAGCCGACACCGACTGGGGAACATCCTTCCAACACCTCACTGTACACTAGATAGGATCATCATCCTCTCCTGCACCATTCCCCTATAAAAGGCAACTCAGCACGTGGAAGGAGAAGAAATAGCAGTGTCCTTCACCCCATCACCTTATAATCCGGATGGGAGAACCAGAGATTTGGGGCAACATGGCAGACTTGCCTTACAGCTTAGATGCAGCCATAGTGACACAGAAGAAAGAACAGGACCAAGACTAAGAAATCCTGACACTTTAACCAATACATCAGCCTATACGATCTTCAGCCAATGCATCGTCTTGGAAAGAAATCACCAGTTATTAGGGCTCAGACGTGTGATCAAGACATTTGAGCAACAATTAGCACTGATGCTTGGGATAATGTTTTTAGCACATCGCAGATGCAAAGTGAAAAAAAGAAAAAAGTTCAGTGAAAGAGATCAAAACCCATATGAGTTACTCCTCATTTGCAATGAATGAAGCATGCAGTTCCTAGAGCGCAAATGAGGAAACGTAACTTCTTAGCAAACGGTAACTTGATCATAGGTCTGATGTCTTAGAATTAGTACCAGGTATGTGTGTGGATGCATGTGTGTGTGTGTCTCTGTGTGTGTGTGTGTATAGATGATTGAAGATGACATAAAATCAGGAATAGTTATGAATTCAACAGTACGACTACACTTTATAATCATTTTTTGTAAAAAAATGCATCTTTATTAATAATAAAGCCAGCAAACATGAAAGAGACAGCAGCAGCTTGTTGGTTCTATTGTGTCAGCTAAGGTATGCTTTGTTATTCAAAAGTGGTATAATGTTCTCTCTCAAACGGAGTCTTTTGTGATATATTGTACTTTTTGAATAGTAGTTCTGCTTGGATGCTTAAACATGTGGCTATGCTAATGTCTATATCTGAGGAATACCCGAAAGTACACATCGCTCTCTGATGATATGCAGGTAATAGGTTCAATCTAGCGCAATTCCACTGCAATCAAAGAAGCTCTGTAAATTTATGCTAGTTAAGAATCTTTCTCAAATGAATGTAATCTTTGCATTTTTATTTTTAGTCAAGAATACATGAAAAAGCACAGAAGATTATTAACTTATTTAACATAAACATAAGGCAAACAAATTTATATTCAAATGCAATTTGAAGCCAGTATCTTTCATTTCAAAAACTTCAGTGACTGTATTTCCATTTGCACATCCAAATTATTCCTTCCTCAGGAGGTTGTGATACTGCCATGTAATCCTACCAGAGCTCCAAAATTTAATTTGAATT